TTTTTTTTTTTTTTTAATTATTATCGAAACGTGATTTATTTAATTAAACCGGATATAGTAAAAAATTTTTTATTTTATATCCTCACGAATTTAATTTTTTATTACGCATAAAAAAAAAAATAATACATTTCCGTTAAAGAAAAAATAAATTTTATTTAGCAAAAAACTTTCTAGTCCTTAAATTTTTTCATCTCGTCACAAATTTCATTTTAAATCATAACAACTTCCGGTTTGTAATTTTTTTTTTGTTTTTTTTTTTTTCTTTTTAGGAAACGAACGTTCGGTTTTTTTAACATTTCCAAAATTTTTCAAAGGGATTCCAACGACTTTGGGTAAAATATCATCGAATCATCACAACGGATCACATTTGGTACAAGCATATCCGGATTGGTCTTGGCATTCTCAAACAAATTGCGATGGATTGATTTCCGTTTTTAGAACGCAAGTCAGTTTAACCACCATCATCATGATCATTCCTTATAAAAAAAAAATTTATTTACCTCTAATAATAATTTAATCCCGCGAAAAAAAAAAAAACCGACAAAGCAGGTTTTTTTAATTCAAACTAGTTAGTCGTCGTCTTGTGCAAAACCTGGACGATTTTCTTTTAGGGGTCATCAACCTTTAAATATTTTACTATTGTTTACATATATACACGTATCGATAATATAAAAAAAAATGGCGTCTTGATTTTTTTTTACAGATAGATAAATGCGATAGATTGTGGGCAGTGGATTCAGGAGTCGTGGATTTAACATTACCAACAAGAAGGAGACAATGTTCACCGAAATTAATGGCATTTAATTTAAATAACGGACATTTAATTGTAAAACACGTATTTCCAGAAACTTTGTTGAAGGTAATAAATAAATTCAAACACGAATTAATAATTATTACGGTAATAAAATAATTTTTTTTACCTGCAGGAAGATTCCCTTTTGACAAATCTTGCCATTGATATTTCGGATGCAAGTAGTAACGGTTGTTCTGATACTTTTGTTTACGTATCTGACACTATGGGATACTCATTATTAGTTTTGGATTTAAAAAGGAATAAATCGTGGAAGATAACAAAAAATTCAATGTATCCGTATCCGCCACACGGAATGTTTAATACAAACGGAATAGAATTTGAATTAATGGATGGAATTTTGGGTAAAGATAGGAAAAAGATGGAAAAAAAAAAAAAATTTGTTTTCGTATTAATTTATTTTTTTTAACACGCAGGAATGGCTCTCGGACCGGGTGATAACAATGATAAAACATTATTTTATCATTCTTTGGCAAGTTTGAGAGAATCATCTGTACCCACGTCAATAATAAAAAACGAACAAAATTTTTTAACTACAAATATGGCTATATCGAAACAATTTCAAACTTCTAAAGAAGCAAGAAATTATCAATCAGCTGGTCAAGCGTTCGATAAAAACGGTTAAACATTGTTTTTATAATTTTTTTAAATTTTACGCGCCAAAAAATTAAATTTTTGAACTTCATTTAATTTTCAGGGATTTTATATTTTGGTATGGTTGACAATACTTTAAATTGTTGGAATCATAGAAAACCGTACGTTAAAGAAAATCTTCACGAATTAATTAAAGATGACGTAAATTTACGATTTTCCTCCGGATTGAAGGTTAACAATTAATCCCCCTCTCCCCCCCCCGTTTCAAATTATTCGACATTTAAACAAAAAAAATTTTTTTTTTATTCAGGTTATCGATAATCCAAACGAAGGAGAAGAAGTATGGATGGTGACAAATAAATTTGAAAAAGTAATGGTTGGACAACAAAATCCATCCGAATACAATTATAGAGTATTAAAAGGAAACGTGAACGAATTATTAAAGAATAGCAAATGTAAACAAGAACAAATAATAACTTTTCCGATGAAAAATTTTCATAATGAAAATAAAGTTACACACGGAAGACCGTCTCAAAGTTCCGGATACGGATATCATCATAACAATCGACAAAACAATAATTATTAAAAAAATTCTTTTTATTTAATTTATAAATAAATAATAATAATAATTTTATGTTAATAATACAATTATTCATCATCATCATTATCAGTGTTAAAAAATAATAGTGACGAAATCAAAAAAAATATTAATAATAATAATAAAATTTAAAAAACATAAAAAAATTTAACAACCGCCAAATCACGTCGATGAGAGGAGATCGCACGCGCACACGCGCGCACTCACGCACACGCATACCCCCCGCATATTCAAATATAATAAACAACGTTTGCGATTTCTTGTTTGCCGTCAAAAAGTCAATAAAATAATAATAATAATAATAATTTTTCAAATGAAATCGCAAAATGTCGCTAATAAAAAAAATGAAATTTAATATATTTAAATAAAAAATATAATATAATATATTAATATAAAAAATATAATAATGATTAATTCCACGTCGAAAAAATTTTTTTTTTTTTGACGTGGAATTCGACGAAAATTTGGGTCATCTCGAAAAAAAAAAAAAAAAATTCGTTATCCAGTTCGATACTACCCCTCTCTCTTTCTCTCTCTCTTTGTATTTCTGAATTTTCGACCTGATTCCATGTTAAATAATCGTTTTCAAAATTTTTCCCCCCTCTCTCTTTCTATCTATTAAATTTTTCCAATGAAAACTGGTGCCTCATGTGTCATCACGTAATCCAATTTCCTGTATTGCGTCCATTTTTTTCTCTATAAAACTTTTCTTTATATTTTATTACCAATTATCATCATCATCATCATCATCATTAATATTATTATTATTATTATTATTATTACTATTATTAACGATTTTTTTTAGATAGGGTATTTAAATTTTTAATAATTATTCTGGTGATATTTTTTCCTTATGTAAAATTATTGAAAAAAGAAAAGTAACGGATTTTTTAATTGGACGAGTGTGCGTTTGTGCGTTGATGCGTGTGTTCGTGTGCACGCATGTTTGTACATTTTGACTTTTGGTTAAGAGAAACTAGACTAAAAAAAAAAAAAATGAAAAATGTTGTTTATCAAGATTTATAATACGATGTTACGTTATGTAAAAAATTTCAAAAAAAAAAAAATCCGATGAGATGAACGTCGCGTTCCATATTTATTAACTTTTACCTTTTTTTGTCTTCTGCTTTTCACAATTTGCAAAACACTCTAGAAAAAGAGAAAAAGAGAAAAAATAAGAGAAAAAAGATATTAATTATAAATTACAACCTTTCACAAAAATTTAATGAGATTTTTAAACACGACTCAATATTTCCTAACAATAATTAATTACGAAAACGTTTTCATGACGATGACGGTGATGATGATGATGATGATACTACCGGTTATATACATTGAAAAGTTGTAATTCACCCAAAACAACATCAACAACCACAGCCACAAACAACATTGAAAAAAAAAAAAAAATTTCCGGATTTTCATCATTTGAAAAGTTTAAAATGAAAAAAAAATGCAAATTTTAATATTTTTAAATTGCGAAAGGGAGACGTTAAAAGGAGAGGGAGGAGGGAGGGAGGGGAAGATCGTAAAGATGAGGAG